AATTTCAATCTGTTCAACATATAGAGCTCAATTAAATATTCAAAACTATAGTAAGTGGTTGGTTTGGGTTTTTGACCCAATGAAATGGAGCTGAGTGAGTGAATGGTGGTCTACCATATTGTAGAGCGTAAACGAGAGGCAACAGCTGAGCTGAAGCGAGCGTTCATTGGCACTCAGCGGACCCTCCTCTGTGTTTGAGGGTGAGAGTCATGCTGTTCTGTGAATGTCTTCTACTGAGTGCAGAGCAGGCTCTGTGCTCTGCCGTCCTCACCTTTGTGCATTTGCTTCATTTTCTGCCTCTGCGTGACGCAGTTGCGGAGCTTCTGCATCCATCTTTGAGAATAAAAGAGGACAAATAAGAGGATCAGATTTTGGATGAGGAAGAAACCAAGTGGAAGCTGTCTGTTCTCCATTTCTTTGATTGGAAACGCTGTAAATACTGTTGTTGTGGACTAACATACCTTGCACCGAGCAATCCATTTTCCTCACTTTTGGACCATCGATGGAATATCATTTTCGACTTTGAGACTTTTGCAGAGACTTGCAACACTGGATACAAACATGCTGGACACAAACCACTGCCTTCACATTGATACTTCCTCTTTTGAGGATCAACCCATCCAAAATGATCAAGAGAAGATGTCATGGAGTCTGGACTGTGACAATCATGCATATCATAGCCTCAAAGAAGGTGGGCTGTGTTGTTTTTATGCTTTTCCAGAGTATAAATACACCCTCCAGGTGTGCACCCAACTTAATACCTTGAATTTAGCTTCATTATTTGCTCATCCCGAATCTCAACACGTCAGACCTGATTATTCTAGTGTCTTAGTGGTGAGATCACCCCAGCTGCTCGTACAGAGCCAAGAGCGAGCACCGGTTGACCTGCAAACTGTGCCAGGCCTAGGGATTTTGTGGACGGTCAGCAAGAGGCGCGTTTAATTAAGACCCCAGACACACAGGCTCTTGGATTAACCCAGTTGTCTGCATGATTTGAGGTTTTTTTTATTTCTTTTGTTTCAAGATCTGAATGTTGACGCCACACTTTCCAGGTCTCCCACAGAATTTTCCAGGCTGGCAAAGAGAAGATTTAGAGAGTGTTGGCATTTAAAAGTGTCTTATTGATTTACAGTATCAGGCCAGGTTGTTGGAGAGGTGCGAGAGGGCTTGTGTTTCTTCTTCAGTAGCTACAAAAATAGTGCTTAGCAACGCTAAGGAGTGGGCGGTCAAAAACAGCTGTTAAAATGAAGTGAGAATAGGAAGAATTAAGAACAAATAGTGGAACTTCGTTCAATTTGCAAGTGAGAAACGGAGTGGGTGTTCTGGAATTTTATGGGAACTTGTGACAAAAAAGGGGTCCTAATTTAAAAGACCAGGGTTCACATCCTCACAGCTGATCACCAAAACAGCTACTGGTTTTGTCACCTTACACCCTTAAAAATAAAGGTTCCAGAAGGGAGTGAATGATTGGTCTAGGCATGCTGTACTACAGTAATTTAGCGCAGACAGTGTTCTGGTTTCATGATCCCCAAACGTAGTGGCTGTGAAGGTCAGAACAGCTGACTAGTGCACACAAAGCAATGCCATGTGGGTGGGTGATGATGTCATTGTGTCAGGATTGACAGGTGCACACCTCTAAAGCGTCCTGGGATGCCATCAATACTCATGAGCCACATCCTTTCCAACGTGACATTTGACAATGGTACCGTAACGGCTTCTTTTCACAGAACAAAGCAATGACAACAAATCTCAAAAGCTGTCTACACACCACCACCCTCTTTATAGTCATTGAGCAACCTACTCAATGTGTTGTGCCTGCATGCAAGTTCCTGATTTGGAGAACGCCTATTGCCTCTCGTTTGAAAAAGTGGTTGAGTGTTGGTAAAACGGGAAGTATGAAAACCACCCAAACAACCTCAAAATTCACTCCTCAGTCCCTCCCATCAGCATTCACCCTTTAGTTCAAGATACCGAAAGAGGGCCGGTTGAGCTCTTGTCTTGTCTATGTTATAGTCATCTCGCTGCAGCCGTCTGTCATTCTCTGTATCTGAACCCTTTTCCTCTCTCCCCATGCAGTTCTTCAGCTCAAACTACAACAAAGAAGGACGCGAGAGGAGCTGGTCAGTCAAGGAATCATGCCTCGTAAGTCACATTTTACTCATTTAGTTATGTCGAGCATCACACGTTTATATATATATATATATATGTACTTGCAGCAAATGGAGATTGCAATGTATTATGCCATTTTGGGAATGTTTGTGCAGGCTTCATATATTAGTATAAGTATTTGGACACTTAAAAATGTATGAATTTCTGTGCATTATATATCAAAATATCACACTAATGGCGTTTATTTTATAGTAATATAGCACAAACACTTCAAGCAAAACATTAGAAGTTTCAGGTAAAACAAATATATTCTGCAAAATTAAGCTTGTGGTTAATCCTATAAAGCCTATTGTATCGTATTTGATACATGAATTTCTAAGGCCTCAAAGTTATCAACATGATCAAAACTTTGCTGGAAAAACTGTTGTATACAGTAGATCTATGATCTACTACATGCCTTCTGCCCTGTGATTTGATAATTTATACTTTTTTAGCAAGCCTTTTACTATAATTGTCAATGTCCACAGTTAGGTTGTGGTACATGCCATATAAATAGCAACATCTACACTAAATTGCATATATGTGCTCATTTTGGGCCTTTGAATAAAATTTAGGTGTTTTTTCCCTTCTCGAACGTTAGCTCCATATTCTCACTATATCATACTATATGAATCATAAAAGCCTGATATATCAAAGATGTTTAAATATATTTTTAGATATAAAGGTTCAATAAAGTTACATTTAAAAAATAAAAATAAAAGATTTTTCTGACTATTATTCCATATGTCAGACATGCATGGTTAATCAAATTGTTAATGTGTTAAACTTCACTTGTGGAGGAGACTTTACAGAAACTGACTTAATATATCCATGGAAAAATCCCTTTTGGACCATTTGATTGAAAGTAATGGGGAAAATGGCTCTCTGAGTGAAGCTCCAGCATCATGTTTTCATATGCCACTTGCATTAATATTTAGTATGTAATGACATTCAGACATTTTTAAGTGTGACTTCTTGAAGCTGTATATAATCAAAGCAAGGTACACTGACAATATTCTTATATATTTATGTTCCACAAATTAGCTGCAAAACATACCCACAATGACAGGCAGACTCCTGGTATGGGACCGGTTTACAATTTTTTTTGGTATGTCAATAAAGTTGCTGTTGTGGTGCTGCTATAGCCACAAGTATTTCATGTTAGTGTAGTAAAGGATATTGCACCATTCAAATAAATAATTTCAACAATGCTTATGTAGAAATCAACGCCAATTCAAAATAAAAAATATTAAGCTATGCATGTTTCTGACAGTATATCCATTATAATGCATGTTGTCGAAAACACATGCATTTTGCATATAGGCTCCAGCTGGTATTAATTGATGGGACAGTCCACTAGCTGTGGTCTAGCATGTCCTCAATAGAAGACTTGACTCTTGTTTGCTAACACACAGTCATTGTGAAAGGGCCTGTTGTGTTATCAGGTGGATCTACTTCCCCTATTGTTTCCACTTCCTTATTCTGTGTTCTGCTCATCAGGCAAGAGGATTTGCAGTCTTCACACTGTGCTTTCTATGTGGCCTCTGTGGAAAGGAGGAAGTTCCCCAGCAGCTTTAGCTTTGCTCTTTAAAAGCGTCAGCCAGAAATTAACCGTTTATTTAGCTTTATACAGTATAGCACTTAAGCACTTACATTACAATACTAATTTACAAAGCACCATTTTGCAAGACATTAAATGACATGGCATGCACATTTTCATGGCTCATGTTAAATCCAAAACCCATCCATTACAGCACACATAAGATAGCAGGATTATATTAAGATTTCGTTACTGTTTAATGTAATTGTATAAGGGTAGCTGACACATTATGTGTCCACTGACTTTATCAAAGTTTTTAGATTAAAATTGATATTGAATGTCTAAGGGAAAGTTTATTCAGAGGCCACTGCACTGGTCTAACTAAACATTAGTACTACGTACAGTGGAGAAAATAATTATTTGATCCCCTGATGATTTTGTAAATTTGCCCACTTGCAAAGAAATGAAGGGTCTATAATTTTTATGGTAGGTTTATTTTAACGAATAGAGACAGAATATCAAATAGGGAGTCACGTACGTCTAGAAGGTCCAACACATTGCTAGTTTCTGGGATACTGATAACTACACTGAACAAAATTATAAACGCAACACTTTTGTTTTTGCTCCCATTTTTCATGAGCTGAACTAAAAGATCTAAGACTTTTTCTATGTACACAAAAGGCCTATTTCTCTCAAACATTGTTCACAAATCTATCTAAATCTGTGTTAGTGTGCACTTCTCCTTTGCCGAGATAATCCATCCACCTCACAGGTGTGGTATACATTCAGTGTAGGATTAACAGCCAATACCTGTGTTTTCAATTGAAGCACTGTTATACTAACGGTCACATCTGTGACCGTTAACAAATTTACACGTCTTACGAGCAAAATATATATGCAGGAGTATAATTCTCAAAATATATCAGTAGTAGACCCTTTAAAGAATGTATGTACAACATATGATAGCTCTATCTGTTAATTAAGATGTTTTACATACTACTTTATGTAGTAGTCTGAGGAAGACATCTTCTTCTAGATGTGCAAGCAGGAAGTAAACTGATCTGGGGTCTCATTTATAAAGCGTGCGTACGCACAAAACGGGGCTGGAAACGTATGTATGCCAGTTTCCACGCAAAGGTTGTGATCTATAAAAAACAAACTTGACGGGAGAATGTGCGCACCTTTAAGCAAACTTTGAGCCGTGCGTACGCACGTTTTGGAGACGGAGCAGTTTGGCGACACCGATGGTGAGCTGGAGCTAAAGGTCTTTTTAATCACTTTTAGACCGACATTCTAAAGAAAATTATACATACAGTATACAGAAAGATAATACAAATATAATTTCACTCACCAAGCCTATCACATGAAGCAAACATCCATCCCTTTTTAAATGTTCATCCCTTTGTTCTTTAGTGAAACTGACGCAGCCTATCTAAAACCGTAAATCTTCATTATAATCATAAATACAGTGTTCTGTGAAATATGTTCACAATAACAGTTTAAATAAATAAAACTATGTTTTACTTCTGATATAAACATTTAGATTAAATATGCCATTCTGATGAATGGAGTTAGACACTTAAATTACATGAAATCATTACTGAGAAGTTACAACATTTTTTTATATTCAATGAATAGAAATATTTGTTGTGGATGCAATGCTTTCAAACACTTTCCCTCTGTCACGTACACTTTTAGTAAGGATTCTACGCACAGTTTTATAAATGAGACCCCTGGTCTTGTGACCTTTCACACCAGTCACATGACATTAATAGATTTTAATCAGGACAATCTATTTTTTCATTTAAAAGTTGAATTTCTTGCCCAAAGCCAATAACAACATTTTTAGAGCTTCCAGAAATAAGTGGGATTAAACGGGTTAATCCTATAGACCAATTTTCAGTTGGTAAACATGGTGACGTTTTTATGTGGGCGGAGCTTAAGTGGTGGCAGAACGATCCCTCTGGCCGCTTCACTAACGTAAAGTCTGCAAGTTTTGTTAGCTTGTTTTTAACAATGACTGGAGAAAATCCGATTTTATCTTAATGTGCAAGGTCACTCACTGTCCAGGACCACGATTGTTATTTGCAAAAGTTAATTTTAATCGGACGGAACCAGATTGGCCGACCCGTACACTCATTGAGGATCTGACAGGACTAACGTTAACGTTACCTCCGGTTGAGTGGCCTGACTTCTACACCTACCTGATAGAGAAACGGAGGGCATGTAAATCTTTAGATGCCTATAACTAACTATGTGCTGAATGGTCATGTACAAGACTTGTGTGGTACGATCTGCAGTTCTGCCTAGCCAGCGCCGAGAAGACGACAATGTAAAGAGGGACATTACGGTGCAATTTTAATGAGGCGAATATTTCTAGAAATAAAAAATTGCAGATAAAGCATATTCATTTTTCATTGATTCTTGCACCCAACAACACAACAAGATGACATTTAATAATAAGAAGAATAATTTAAGATCCTTATTTTGTAGCCGAATCTGTGCTGGTTTGTATTTGCCGCCTCCAGTTTTCCCTTTGTTCTGCCACCAGCTAGTGCCGTGACGTAACTGTGACGTCGGCTGAAAATTGGTCTATAGAAAATCTGTGGAGGGAGCTGAAACTTCGAGTTGCAAAGCGACAGCCAAGAAACCTTAAGGATTTAGAGAGGATCTGTAAAGAGTAATGGACCAAAATCCCTCCTGAGATGTGTGCAAACCTGGTGACCAACTACAAGAAACATCTTACCTCTGTGCTTGCAAACTAGGGTTTCTCCCAAAGGGTACTAAATGATGTTTTGCTTGGGGATCAAATACTTATTTCGCTCACTGAAATGGAAATCAATTTATAATGTATATAAAGTGTTTTTATGGACTTTTTGGTTGGTATTCTGTCTCTATCCGTTAAAATAAAGCTACCATAAAAATGATTGACCTTCATTTCTTTGTAAGTGGGCAAAATCAGCAGGGGATCAAATAATTATTTTCTCCACTGCATGTATTGTAAGGGGATTTACAGTCAAAGACCCAAAACCAGATATGATGAATGAAGACTGTTTTAGTTTTAAAGTTTTACTGAAGATAGTTTGCAGTTTCATCAGGCAGAAGTCAGCTTCAAGACTCGCAAGGATTTCGTAGGCCGCCCCGCTTACAGTTACAAAGATCACAGCAATTATACCCTTCACCAAGGTCTAAGATATGTCCTTGCTTCAGGTTGAATGATTCTCATTGGCTAAGAAATAGATAAACATAGTAATTTTCCACACATAAACAGATAGACTGAAGCATATCTCCACCGATTATGCGTCTGACACTCGGACCCTGAAGTTAGGCACGTCGTGACCTTCCAGGTCGCAGATTTGGGTTGCTGGGCGCCAGCATGTCCAGAACAAGAACTCAGTCAATCTCCAATAAATGCCAGTGGTGCCTTAACCTGTACCCAAAAAGACTAACACACACACCGAGACACAGCTTTTCCAAGGTTGGATTTGGCCAGGCTCTAACTATAAACAGGAGAGTCATCTCAAAACATCAAAATAATATGTTCTTTCTCTCAAGGAGAGGACACTTTAATATAACACAGTAAAGTAAAGCTTTCACTACGAAATGGTCACTCAAACTATTGGTTTCAATGACCCTTGTAACCTAGTTGTCAGGGTACCCTAGAAAAACAGATGTATGTATTGACACGTTTAAACAAGTCCATAATTCATTTCTGGAAGCCGGGCTAAATGAGCAAGCACTGTTACTGCATTCAGATATCAAATACAGACATTACAGAATACATGAAAAGAACATTTTAGTAAGCACACTAGTAACTTCTATAACAAAGTACAATCTCATAAGCCTAGAGAAGTCATTCAACTCATGTGATATTTAGAAGGAAAAATATTGATTATAATCAATAGAAAAATAGAAGGAAAAATATTGATATAATACCTTGATTATAATCACTCATTACATATACATTGGATACATCACTGGATTCCAGAATCCACCCCCTTCAGTATCATCATAGGGAGGAATCTTGAATCTTTTTTGTTTAGGTCAGATTTGTATTGTCCCCATTATAAACTATCAAAAGCTTGTGGTCGTAAGATTTTTAAAAAAAAGAAGTCTCTTATGCTGCATTTGTCAAAAACACAGTAAAATAGTAATATTGTAAAATATTATTACAATTTAAAATTACTTTTCTCTTTTATTATGTTTTAAAATCTGATTTATTCCTTTGATTTCAAAGCTGAATTCTCAGCAGTCATTGCTCTTGTCTTTAGTGTCATCATTTTAATATGCTTAAATCGTACTGACCCCAAACTTTTGTACAGTACTGTAGGTTTATTATTGCGAACTTCTCTTGCACAGCGAACAGGCGGATGATCATTGCTAACCATAGCTTGTGGTTTTGGAAATTTCATGAATTTAGTTACCCAAGCTCAGCTGTTACATCACATTCTTATTCTGTGTTATACCTTTTACATTACAGCAGTATACTTTACTACCAATATAGGAATATTCCTGTCTGGTATACTGTAAGATGACTAGTGGTAAACTGTTTAGCAAAAATTATAATTACTATTAGCAACTAAATTATTTTTAAGTCTTTAAAAATATATAGATTTTGACATCCCAAGTACATTTTCATCCATGCAGATGGATACACACACTTGCTGTTATTATACTGACCTCCCTTTGTTCTTTCAGCAGATGATTTGAGAGTCTGATATAAGTGGATGTTCTTTCTTTCTTTTTTTTTACGTATGACCTTTCGGAATGACCTTTTAATGACTAGTTTTACATTCTCCACATAGTTCCTCAATATCGAATACGAGACGTTGGCCTAGATGTGTACAGATACAAGAGTACTTGATTACTTGAAAAGACATAGCACTAGCAGTAATTGTGAGAAAACACAATATGTATTGGGCAGCTGTTTGGAGTAGTTTAGCTCTAACATTCTGGTGTTTTAAAATATCTCCTGCACCCGATCTTGAATAATCGGCTGATTAATCTATCGAGTACCTGACAGTCACAACGACCAATATGCACATCAGTCCCTGCGACTGAACATCAGGAAGTAAGTGCATCTCTCTTTCTGTACACAGCTCTGAAGAGTCCGGCCGCCTTCCACGAACAGAGGAAAAGTCTGGAGAGAGCACGCGTAAGTGACTTTATCTCTTTTTTCACTTGCTTCTCATCTTTGATTGACACTTTTGTTGACAGTTGTTTTCTCTTTTACTGTTGCAGACTGAGGATTACCTGAAGAGGAAGATCAGGAGTCGGCCAGAGAGGTCAGAACTGGTCAGGATGCACATCCTAGAAGGTTAGTGTCACATCATTCTCTTGAATATTAAAACAGAGTAATATTAAATGATTACCATATTTATTTATTTCAATTATCTTTTTTTATCTATTGCACGTCATGTTTCTGTTATGTAATTTCTGCCTCTTGCAATGGACCCTTTTCACAAAATGAAAAAAAACTTTTGTTAATAACTGTGGAAATGCATCATTACAGTCTATTTTTTTAACAAACGGTTGTGCATTTATAACACTAAACTTTTTTTGTTATGTTTTGCATTACATTTCATAAAACTAGTTAACCACTGTAATCAATCCCTCTATATTATGCTATTAGAAAGCAAAATGTATATCTTTGTTGTAGTTTCTATTCACCACTATATAAGTTTGCCCAACTATGACAACTTCCGCTTCTGAGCACCCCAGAGTTTTGGAAAAGGTCCATAGCCATTATATCATCTTGACCTGTTCAGGAGTGAAGGAGCTGTCTGTAACTTCTATATTCTTTTGTATTATTTTTCCCTTTCTGATACTATAAAAACAGGTAGCTGATCAATATGCAAAAAATACTAATTGAGTCAGTAGACTCTCAGATGGGAATTTAGGTGGTATTTACATAGAAGGAAGTGATTCAGTTGTTAATGATTAAATTTGTTTCACCCACAGAGACCTCAGCCGAGCCCTCACTGCAGGCCAAGCAGCTGAAGCTGAAGAGAGCTCGATTGGCAGACGATCTCAATGATAAGATCTCTCACCGCCCTGGTCCAATCGAGCTAATCCACAAGAACATCCTCCCTGTGCATGCGCTCATTGGTTAGTCTGTAACCACCGTCACAAACAGTGTTTATGTTGCACGCACTATTACAGCAATGTCAGCTTTGTTGGTTGCCGTTTAAGCACCATAAGCATTTTCTCCACAAATGACACTAATGCAAATCTATTATTTGCAAATTTGACAAAAGCAGGAAACTTTAACTACATTTCTTGTCAATAACATCCCTTTCATTTAAATGGTGTAACAGT